GCAAAATTGCCAAAATAAAAGAATTGGGCATGGTGAAAACCTGCAAGCGCGGCGTGAGTAAAAATGACAGGTGGGCATGGCCATGAAGCCATGAGTAAGAGTGTCTTGAAAACGAGAATACCGAGCATGATGAAAACCCGAAAAGGCGTCATGAGTAAGAACAAAAATTAAAGGTGGACGCGACCTCGAAGTCACTGGTACAAGAGCCTTAATAAAAAGAAGAAGCTAGTGAAAACCATTTTTATGACGCCACTTCTATCCAGTTCAGGTGAAAACCCGAAAGGGCACTTGAACCAATAAATAGGTTGATACAGCTTTTGACTAAAGTTGACTTAACCAATTATAGCAGAAAATTGGAAGGAACTGAGTGAAAATCAGACCAACCCTTCTCAAAACGAAGTTCCCATGACACTGAGATAAAGTCCACCAAGGGCCCTCAGTTGTTGCAAATAAAGCTGCTGATGTGGGAGAAATTCCCGCGACACTAGGATAAAGCCCACCAAGGGTCCTCAGTTGTTGCAAATAAAGTTATTGATGTTTGAGAAAGCTCTTAAGTAAGGCACTCACTCAGAACCAAGACGAAGCTCTCGCGACATTGGCATAAAGCCCACCAAGGGCCCTCAGTTGTTGCAAATAAAGTTGTTGATGTGGGAGAAAGTCCTTAAGCAAGGCACTCACTAAGAACCAAGACGAAGTTCCCGCGACACTGAAATAAAGTCCACCAAGGGCCCTTAGTCGTTGTTAATAAAGATGTTGATGTGGGAGAAAGCCCTTAAGCAAGATTCGAGCCAAGACGAAGTTCTCGCGACACTGGGATAAAGTCCACCAGAGGCCCTAAGTTGTTGCAAATGAAACTGTTGATGTGGGAGAAAGCCCTTAAGCAAGGCATTCACTCAAAGCCAAGAAGATTGGAAGGTACTAGGTGAAATCCAGACCAGCCCTTCCCTACCAACTAGATTGAGAGCAAAGCCCACCAAGGAAACCCATTAGCTGGTCCATTAGGAGGTGTTGTTGAGACGAAACGGTAAGCCCTTCCACAAACCGGTCAACACTCTCCCAAAAAATGGATTCTAGTGGCATTGGGAAGGAAGCCCTTAAGCCAGGCCCCTAATCGCTAGAGTCCACTTTGGTTGCACCTCCGAGAAGAAGCTTAGCATGGTCTCCTCCTCAAGGATCGTGTTGATGCTGGTGATCGAGAAGAAAAACATTGTTGAGAGGCAACTAATGTGTCTTAGTAAGGATTCAAAAGAAGAGCTTCGACGAAATTTTTTTATTCTGAATGCTACACTTCTCGCTTCTCTCAAAGATCAGCATTCGGTAGGGCAAGTTGTCATGTGTCATTTTACGATTTGTATCCTTGGAACGAATAAGAAGAGACCCAATAACAACTTGGTCCTATTGGTACTTAAGAATCCGCCAGACCATGGGAATATTATAAAATAAGCCTAAAATTGGGAAACCTCTAAAAGAGTGATGAAACGGCTTCAAAAGTCATGAAAAGGGTAGTTTGGGATGCCCAAATGATGCTCTCAAAGTTTGTTATATTCCGATCAGTTTCAATATGATGAAGACGAAACTCGGTTTCCAAATCCAATTCTTATCGTGCTGAAAAGGGATCTTATAACTACATCCCTATTTTTGGAGTCTCAATATACGAGCAAACCACTACCATTAGATCTGAAACATCAAAAACCCCCAAGAACCAAATTTGGGCTCAATCAAACTTTCTAGGACCATTCTGGACCCAACTTACATTAAAATGGTGGTTTTACACTATTGCGATGCAGCCTCGGTGAATCAGTTTCCATTTATGAAAACTGCGTTTTCCCACTTCAGAATGATTTTCAAATTATCGTAACTTGCTCATTTTGAATAGAAACAAGCTCAAATTTGGACACAAGCTAGGTCTCGATGACCCGGTTGTTTTGACATATGGCACGTGTCATGAAGTAGCCCGAACGAGAGAATTTCTCGAGAGAAGTTGAGCTTCAAAGCTTAAATTAGATTTTATACAAGAAGACATCCTAAACTTTGTGTAGTCATAACTTGAGATCCCGGTGTCGGATCGTCGTAAATATAGGTCTGTTGCCACCGTATCGCGAACGTATCGCGAACGTATCGCGAACGTATCACGAACGTATCGCGAACGTATCGCGAACGTATCGCGAACGGCTACAATTTGGGATAATTTTAGTAGACAATTGGATGCCGTATAGTACGAATTTAGAGGTTGAAAAATGTAAGATGTTTTGGTAGCCGATATCCCATTTTTCAGCGACTGTCCAAATTTAGAATATGCCTAAACAGAAACCAAATTGGATTAAATTTAGTGCAAAGTGATCGAGATATTGTCTTCTTCAAATTGTGATCGAAATGAGGACTCGAAATATTATGGATAGCACCGAATTGGTGGTCGAAGTTTATAGACTTTGCCGTATTTTTGGTTCTTCATGAAAATCCATTTCAAGAAGATCAAAGGGCATCAAATGTTCGGATAAATCAAATATCAATTCTACGACAATTGATCGCCTGAATTACTGTTGCAATCGTCCGAACAAGCACCCGAAGTCTAGCAATGGCAAGAGGCCCCTCATGGAGTGATGATTTTGTTATTCGCTCAAAAGAACAAAGGGATATTTTGGTCATTTGGCCCAAAAATGATATTTTATTTTAATTCATTTAATATGTAATTTTCCACAATTTGGCTTAGTTTTGAGCATTCTACCATTGTTTTGTGGTTGCTCTATATAAGTAAGCTCAAGTCATTTGTAAAGGGGCTTGATCATTTTGAATGAAGCTTGAGCATTGAAGAGTGAGTTTTAGCTTATTATTTTCCCTTTCTTCTAAGTTCTTGATCAAGTTGAGAGGAGAGAGAAACTTTAGGTAGAGCGAGAAAACACCCCTACACCATAGTCACTAAACCATACACTACACCCTAGAACCTAAACTATACACTACACCCTAGATCCTAGACCATACATTACACCCTATAGTACACCATACACCATGCGCCCTAGCCTACATCCCTAGTCCAATTACCACATCCTAACCTTAACCCGAACCTAACCTCTCTATCTAATTTGCATGCAAGAAGGCCTATGGGAGTGCACCTAGGCTGGGACATACCCCAAGCCCATTCTCTCTCCTCTCCCCTTTTCTCTTTCTTCTTTCTTTATCTCTCTACACTTCCGTTTCCTGCAACCAAGCCCAGGGCCGCACCTAGCTGCGGCCTCGACTTTGCTCAGTCTTCATTCTCTCTCATCTTGATATCTCTTTCCCCTTGTTGCGCACATACACTTAGGGTCGCACCTACCAATACCCCGACTTTGCCTGCTCGTACTTCTCTCAGCCTCTCTTCTTTTCCCCCGGTTGCATGTACCCCAGGGCCACACCGGACTGCGGCCTTGTCTCTCTCTTCTTATTTCTTTGTCAGCTACTCTCCCTTATCTCGCTCTACGTTTAGGGTTGCACCAAACAGCAGCCACGACTCTTTGCCCCCATATCTCTCCCCTCCTCGTTGCCCCCTCTCGTTTCAAAGCCTCATGCCGCACCTGTGTGTGGACCCAATGCACCCTTTTCACATTAATCTCTCCCATATTCATCCTGAAACACGGGGCCACGCTTGCGAGTGGACCTCCCCCTTCGCCCTCTTGTCCTTCCACCTCCCTTACTTGCATTCAAACCGAAGCCGCGCTTCTCTTGTCTTTTTCCTAACCAAGCCCATCCTTAGTTGCATATACCTATGACTTTAATCTTCACAACCCCTCACATAAGTCCATCCCCTTGTGTTGGTAGCTTCTTCTGTCACTCGAGCATCTGACTTAGTGTCTTCATTTTGAGTCACTAACTTAATGTCATTTTGAGCCACTTTAAGAGTGTTAACTCTCATATTACTACTCTAACCTCCACTCTATACAGTCGAGTTGAGTTGCGAGAGATATAGATGCTCTTGCCCTTGACTATTTGACTGCTCTGATCGCCAAGTCTTATAACGCACGAGTGGTAAAGAACTTCCATCACCTTTCTTTCTTCATCATCTATTCCCAGCCACTCCACTTAATCATACCATTAAAGAGGAGCATTTCTACTTGAATTCCCATAGTAATTTTGAGATAAAGAACCGTGATGACGTGTTGACATAGGGCCTTTTAACTAGAGGGTGGTCAGCTGTGGTTAATGCTACAGGGCAGAAAGTTCACTCCCAGAGGATTAAGTGAATCGACCCATTTAGGTCGATAGTTTCGTGTTTCTTCCTAAATAAAAGTTGTATAATTTTGAGTCTATTCTATCTGGAAATAAGTCCCATAATTTCCAAAACTTGAAATCCTCATGATCAATTTGAGGATATTTGGGCATCAAAACAACCTCTTATAGTGAAATTTTTAAGGTAGGCTCTAATTTGATTGTTTAGAGCCTAGGCTCTATATAAACTTTTTCCCTCAAAATTTTCATTTATTTATAGATCTATAATTAGATAAAAAAAGATTTTTAGATAATTCTAATAATTTTTTACATCAAAATTACAAGTTATTATAAAAATTGGAAGTGCCCCATGCGGATTGTTCAAGGTTGCAACCTTAAATAAACATTCCAAAAAAAAAAAAAAGAAAGAGAAGGTTTTCTAATTTATTTATTTATTCCCTCCATCATAAACACAATCCCACGCAACTAGGACCCACAAATTATTTACCATTAATTAATTCATTTTCCTTCTATTTTTTAAAATTTTAATCAATCAAGATAGGTGGCGAAGGTGCATTCCCTCCATCATAAACACAATCCCACGCAATTAGGAAACACAAATTATTTACCATTAATTAATTCATTTTCCTTCTATTTTTTAAAATTTTAATCAATCAAGATAGGTGGCGAAGGTGCATTCCCTCAATCATAAACACAATCCCACGCAACTAGGACCCACAAATTATTTACTATTAATTAATTCATTTTCCTTCTATTTTTTAAAATTTTAATCAATCAAGATAGGTGGCGAAGGTGCCCTCGGAAAACCCTCGGGCATATCCAGCGCCGTTTTCCTTTTTCGAAAGCGCGGTCCGAGAAGAAAAGAGTAATTTGTTTGGTAACACAGGACACAGCCTTCTGTTTGCGGCACGCACTGAAACGGGCCTTGACAAGCTTCGGGGACCCTTTTTCTCTCTGCTCTGTGCTATAGATCGATTCTAAAGAGAGAGAGGGAGGGAGGAGATCATCAAGTATTATGGATGTTGGTGAGCTTTGGGCCATCTTCGGGCCAGGTCTAGCGGGTGCCGTCTTCGGTGCTGGTTGGTGGTTTTGGGTCGATGCAGTTGTTTGCAGCTCGGTCAAGGTTTCCTTCGTTCACTACCTCCCTGGTATAAACTCTATCTCTCTAAACTTCATTTCTTCTCTTAATTAGGTTTTCCCCTCGGATCACAACTGTGTTGATCTGAATGGACTTCTCTTGGGACAGGCATATTTGCATCCCTCGCAGCTCTCATGTTCAACAGCGTGAGGAGAGATGATATTGACTATTCCCCTTACGATGGCGGAGAATGGAGGTGAGCTTCTGATACCTTCGTGTCTCTCTCTGAATAAATAAGTTCCAATTAAATAGTTTTTCTATCAAGATTGATGAGATTGGGATATAATGTTGAAATCAACCGTTTTTGAGGGTTGAAATGCCTTTATTTTTTGAAATATGTTATGTATATATGATAAAAATAGGGAAATTTGCAAAACTAGAAGACCCAAAACAGGTGGTAAAAAAAGAAAACCTAAAAGAAACAGTAAAAAATACCCCTTGCAATGAGTAATTAAGAAGGAGATGGAGTATGATTCTGTTGGTGGGCGTGCTGAGGGGCTGCTGTTGGGCAAGCTGAGGGGATGCTGCTGTGTGAGCTGTGGGGATGCTTGTGTCTTGAGAGCGTGGAGCTTGTCATAAAGGTCCAACAGGTCTTCAAGATCAGCAATCCTCGGAAGCAGCAGGTCGTCGTCTGAATGTGAATCAAGAATAGGATAGGGGAGGGGAGAAGAGAGAAGAGGAGGGGTAAAGACTAGAGAGAATGCGAGAATAGAGAAACTCTGCTATCGATGCAAACAATAGCTCACCAGACCTAGGTATACCAAGAATAAGATGAGGCAGAGGAGAAGAGAGAAGAGAAAGAGGAGGAAAAGGGGAGAGAAGGGTTGGTAGAAGAGAGACAGGGATAGAGGAGAGGAATAAAGGGAAGGGAGGGAGGTGAAAATAGGTATAGGGGCAAAAGGTAAAGAGGGTGCAGTGACTGTCTAATAAAGGATGGAGACGAGAGTGAGAATTTTAGAATAGATGAGAGGAAGAGGGGAGGGAGAATTAAGAAAGAAGGGGATAGGTAGAGATGGGGAGGCTTAGAGATATGAGAAACAGGGTTGGAGTGCTTTTTCTGTTGATCAATGTGCAGTATTAATGGTTTTTTAGTTTTCATGATGTAGAATTTGATGTTTGTACAAATGGAGCTTCTTCAGTTACTAGTACTATTCTTGCACGTGCTTGACTGATGGGATCTGGCGTTCAGTGTGCTGCACCCAAACCGGGGTCTTGGTTTTAGGTGGGTAACAACTTGGAATAGAGTTTTGTATAGATTCTGATCCTTGTGTATAAAAGAAAATTCTACGAATCTCAACTTTATCTAGTGTATCAAAAAGCGCAGGGTGGGTCTTAGGCGGCCTGGGAGGTGCAGGCCGCCCAGCGCCTAGGCGGGCGCCTAGAACCTGGGCGACTGCCAGTTGAAATTTGAAAAAAAGTAAAAACCATACCAAATTATTACCAATATAATACCATATTCCAAGTTTAAAAAAAAAAAGATAGACGCTGAGAATTGAATTTTGATAATCCATATTGTTAAAACAGTAAACTGTAAAACCATGCAAGTGTAGGTAGGATATAAAAGTCAACACTTAACACAGCAGAAATTTAGAAAATATACAGTGTAGCAAAATTCAACACTCATGACTCAACACAACAGTCAACAGACTCAACACTCAGCACCAAGAGGCAAGACTCTTCAGTCGTCGTCATCATCATCTTCATCAGAAGAAATATCAATAGGGCAAGCCTCATCATATGCATCGGATTCGAGGACATCATCATCAGAGTCATCTCCCTCTTCAATATAACGCTCATCTTCCTCTGTTTCTTCTGAATCTGCCTCTTCCTCCTCCTTTTCTTCTACCTTCCTCTGACTAGTCTGTGCAGATGAGGCCCTAAGAGTCTTGGCTGCTGTACCCTTTTCTTTGTGCTTCTTTGAACTCAAATATTGTATAATTTCCTCCTTGGTAGCCTCATGAACATTTTTACAAGGGGCAACATCCCCCTTAATACCGGAAGGGTGTTTTTTAAATCGGTAAATGCCCCCATTAGTATCCTTTCCACAATAATTATATTTAATACAATTTTTATCACTTGGATTCGGGTTATAACCATACTTCCAACCCCGGATCACAATTCCGTCTAGAACCTGAAGAAGATACTTCCATATAACAAGGTTTATTTCATCCTTTTCTGGTTCTTCAAAATTTAGAACATGTTTAATCTCATCCCGAACTGCTTCAGGAATCTTGTACAAGAAGCAACATTACCTCTAACACTAGCAAGGTGTTTTTTGAATTGGCTAATAACCCCATTGGTATCTTTTTCACAAAAATTTTCAACTTATACAATTTTTATCGTTCGATTTTGGGTACCCTTACTTCCAATCTGGATCACTTTTTCTAGGAGTAGCAGAAATAGATCTACGACAATGATTTTGTTCTTGTTTTTGTTTTACTTAACTTACAAATTGCTTAATTTCCTCTCTAATAGCTTCAGAAACATTTTTGCAAGGGGCAACATCCTCCTTAATACCGACAAGATGTTTCTTAAATTAGTTTATGCCTCATTTTGTATCTTTTTCATAAAAATAGCATCTAACACAATTTTTGTCATTTGAATTCGGGTTGTATCCATATTTCCAACCTGGATCTCCACTCCGACTAACTCGTGAAGAAGACATCTCAAAATAAAACAAGCAATCTAAAAGTTGCACTCGCTTTGGTTGTTCGAACTCCAAACTTTGAGAAACACTTCGATGATTCGATCCAATGAAATGTAGTTTTTTGGATGTTTCTTTCTCTCTAAAAGGGTTTCTTGGGGGTTTAGGTTTCAAATGAACCTAAAATCCATCTTTTTAAACTTTTATATCTTGAAAAAAATGAAAAAAAAAAAAAAACGATGCTTTTTCGCCTCTGGGTGAGGCGCAGGCCCTGGGCAATGCGCCCAGGCGTTCTAGACTGCCTAGGCGCTGGGCGGTCTGCTTTTTTGAACAATGACTTTATCATATTTCACCTAAATTACATTTATATATATGATGTCTTTGGAATTTTTTATGGTGCATGGATAAGCTGGAGGAGTGTTACCTTTTTCTTTTTTTTTTCTCCCTTAAGAATCAAGGTTGTGGAGTCTATAAATGTGATTGCTGCACATTACTTGTTACTGATGTTTCTTGGAAAAGCCATCATAAATTTATAAAGATTACCTAGAATTACAGGAAGAATGTAACTCACAACCCAAGCCTACTAAGGAAATGGGATAATTAGACACCTTGTAATCGTCCTGTTATAGTGGCTAGATTAGTTATGCTTTTTTTTCTCTAGATATCATCATTATGAAAGTTTACATAAAGAGAATCACGGGTATGTTTTCTTTTGTCAAAGTTCTTATTTGTGCTATCTAAATACTGGTCAAGAATATGTTCCTCATGAGATAAAGTGTGTCTTCAGCTGTGACTTGACTTTATCAGGATAACTGAAATGAAATTTAGTTGACTTTATTGGGTTGGAAAAATACCTTTTGGACAGATCAAATGAGCTTGCCAGCAATGGGCAATTCTTTTGCCCATTATAGGCATATTACTCAAAAAAGTGCCAGTGATGGTTTTCCTAGAACTTATCCCCAAGGGACAACCTAAATAAATAGTAAAGAAAAGGAGAAAAAGTAATGAAATGATAAGGGATGAGTAGTGGATAACAAATATGAACATAAGAGTAAAGATCTTTCGTAGGGGATTAGTCCCTTATTGGGAGGACTCCCCTATCGGTCATCCACTTCATGTTGTGCTTCTTTGAGAACATAGGAATAGGGAATGGACAACTGTTGCCTCTCTTAAACATCTTTATCATGATATTAGCTATTGCCTAGGGATGATCTGTCTCTATGGGTTTATTTAATGACAACAACCAAGTGATCCTTCATGAGAGCAGTAGATTACATTGTGGCCTATCAGTGAGATTGTTGCTTTAGCCTCAGGGAAGTCTCAGTTCCTTTGACTTTGTGAAGGTCTTGAGGGAGCTTCCATGTTGTTCATGGTTTGTAGTTTGGACTCCCATCCTAGATGGGCCTGTGCACCTCTGAAGCTAGCCCTTTTGGCCGCAAGTTTATTGTTGGAGGTAGTGCACCTGACTACTAGTTTCCATTCATGAATTAGACAGTCTGTTTTGAAGCCAGAAAGTTAATTGACTCATAAGACCCACACAACAGTGGAATCTCTATTTTTTTTCCTCGGTCTAAGGTGATATATAGATAATTACAATAGAAAAGGTATAGATATAAACATTTGTTGGTTTATCTCCTACCGTGGCCCTTTGATAACTTGGGTGTGACCCAGAAAATCTAGATTGCTGAAGAAGTGTTTCCTTAAGAAAGTTTCTTATGCTACATTCACACAGGTGGTGCAAACCAACTTGCTTCATGGTTTTCTGTGCTTCCTAGAGCAGATGAAACAGGATTGGCGGATTGCCGCCATGCCCTTTCAAGATGTTCTATAGTAAGAATCTTTTATCTTTGATTGCCAACCAAATAAAAAAAGGTACATGGTGGGAGTTGGTTACCCCTCCCTTTGCAATTCTTTGGAAGTACCGTAAAGAAAAGGAGAAGAACTCTTGGGAAGTGCTTGACTGAAATAGCCATGCTATCGCATCTCCATGGCCCATTCCAAGAATTTCTTGGATGAAATTATATGTGATTATTTATTCTATTATTTCGTATTTCTTTCTATGTATAATTCTAAACAACAAATCGCTGCTTTTTCTTTTGCACGGAACATTTGATTGGTGTTATATTGAGTTACCTATGTCTGCTTTGCTTGATTATAACCATGGCAAGGGTTTACTAGGTGAAATGTTGTCTTTTCAATATTTTCTTGAGATATTGAGTTACCTATGTCTGCTTTGTTTGATTCTGTCCATGGCAAGGGTTTACTAGTTGAAATGTTGTCTTTTCAAAATATTTTCCTAAGACCAAGATGACTGCATTGGGTTACAAAAATTATATGAGTTTTTTTACCTTTACACTAGGGGCAAATGTGGTGTTTCTAACTCATAATGAAATTGTGTTTTAGAGAGCTTGACAAGTTTATTGTGGCTATAACCTTCAATCTGTTATGAATTTATGAGAAAACTGTTGTTCTCTATTTTTATTTGAAGAAGTCTTGTTCTGGTTCTCTATTTTAATAAATGACTTGGTTATTATGTTATGCTGCACGCAAGA